TCCGTCCCTTTCAGCATTTCAAATTTTATTATTCCTCAGGTTAAAAAACTTAGCAAAACGTTCATTTTCGAGTGAAATGTTTTCAGTAAAATTTGCTCATTGATGCTTTCCGATATCTTTCATGAGGAGGGAACTTCATGAACAGTAGATTCTCTTGCATGTTATCTGGAAGTCTTACAACTTTAAAAGAAGCATTAAGCATACTTATGACGTAGGACCTCCTTATAAACTCGATAATAATGTTCTTAGTTACCACAACGTGATAGGTTTGAATATTGTTTTCAGATTCTCAACTTCACCTTCACCAAATTCAGAGGAAGATATAAAGGCTAATTTTAGTCAATGCTCCTATAAAATAAAAAGAATATACGGATTATCTTGAAAATCCTGGAAGGAATATCATATGGTCAAGATTGGGGCCGAGAAAAACCTAATAACAAACACTCCATTTGGGACATGCATATCGTACAACTTTAAATAGGTTTTTTTCAAGTGTGTTCAGTAAAATTCCTTTGGCACTAAGCGCTCAGTGCTTGAATGTCCCATCACCTGTCATCCAACGACCGACTTATATGCAAACTGCGGTCCTATAGGGGATCGTTCATGTCCTGAACGGCTTTGTGGTAGAGTGTGAGGTTCTGGAGAAGGTTTGATTCACCGATACAATGTGAGTTTGAGAATACATCCTACTGATTAGTCGCATCAAAATTGAAGCTTTGGAATGCGGCCTCCTAGTGACTGATTTCTGGCGTATAACAGCATACCATAACATCATTCGCATAATCTGTGGTTATATTCAAGAACAATAAAAGAAAGTGAAGAAATTGAGTGGACAGAAAAATTATTGGCTTCTCTCATACCAGTTACTACTCTTTCGGTGAACTGTGCAGATAGTAATTCACTGGACAGTTTCTTTGTTATCAAATCCAAATATGCCCAATTCGTGTACATATTACGTTCCATTTACAGAACTTATCAGAATTATAAAAAATGAGTTCAAGCATAAAATGAGCTTATTTCATTAGCTAGATATAAGCAGACTTGGGTACGAGAAGTAAAATGTGGAATAAAATAAGCAATGTTCTATAATTTGAATGCAAAACGATGTAATGATGGTAAATAAACTGAAATGCTTACTTCACGTTAGTGATATGAATAATTTCCATGTAACTCACTGTTTGGATACAACTGCTGCTGCCTACACATTTCAACTACTGTAGATTACCTACCAAGGCAAACACAATAGAAGATATTTACCCTCTTTCAACTAGCAAAAGATCACATTCACCTGTCATATCATGTTCTGTTGAGTCAAAGAGATGGTTCAATAAGGCGGCCAGTATGCAGAAAGTCTATATGGAAAGAATAATACTTGAATTTTCACACCTTCTGAAGGATTCAATACAAGGGAGGTCTAAAAAAAATCCCTGTTTGATCTAAGCAGTTGCTAGAGCACCAAGCCAGTATCGTGAAGGTTGCTGGTCCGAACCCTATCGTCGCCCAGGTTTTCATTTCACCTTCAGTCGTCAACCAGTATCAGTAACAACCGTCTGCGAGACCTTAGCTATTCCAGATAGTCTCATCACAAAATAACGTTTCAATTTGCCGTATATTATACAATGAACATAAAATGCACATGTCAAACTAGCCTAGCAAGATCACTCAGGTTAGCAGAGCATGAGAACTTAGATTTAGAATGGTGGACTCCATCAAGATAAGTAACCTAGAGAAAACTAAGTTGATGTTTACTGGTATTAATAGACAATCAAAAAATAAGGTGGGACAAGGCAATGGTCCTAAGAAGTAATATAGTGGGATGAAGGGAGAGGTTGATCGAGGAATCCCTCTTCATCAAAACAACACCAATTGGATACAGTAGAATTAATCAATGCCTTCCCAGGAAATTTACGAAATTTAACTCCTTTTGAAATCAAAGCAAAAAAACGTAAATGAAAGCCACATAAATCAAATAAGAAGGCCATCTGATCACCTTGATGTGATTATCAATGATAATTTAAGCTGTATCAAATATACATGTTCATTATAGAGTTACACCGTAGGACAGTGCCTGTACTCTAATCTTATATTACTTATTCCATTTCATCCCCTTATAAAAGACATACAGCTGAACATTTATGGTTTACTGAATCGAAGTATTGGTCACTTAACGGCTTATACAGTCATGATTTTCAGCAGGTGTTTCATGGAAATGTTGTTCAACAATAACACTAGTAAACTCCACATAAGTAATCTATTAAATTACCGGCGCAAAGTTGTGCGATATCGGTATTGAGTGATTTTAGTGCATGTATGCAGAAGACGACTAGCATGACAGATCAATCAATGTTTATTGACAGTTGAGATTTCTGGTTTGATGGAAGCGTATGCCATTTGGTGCTACGAAATTAGTTGATTTATTAGGATTTTTATTCTTATTTTAAATGCAAAGGTAGTTGTTATGAATTGTATTTAATAATCTCTAATTTTGTTGAGGTTTCGTACCAGAGAAAGGGAAGGCTAGTAGTTCGAAGAAATAATTATCAATAAAATAAATCTTACTGGCCTTTCATTGTAATGTATATTCGTTTAGTCACATGTGAGAAGTAAAATAAGTCTTCAGTGCATACTTTTGTGGTACAGTAATCTTTCAATCCAACTGTCATATTATTTGGATAATTAGTCATTCCGAATTATGGCAAGTAAATAATCAAACATCAACCCCATTTTATGATGATATCCTTCTTCAGTTATTGACAATGTAAACAATGTCAAGTCAAACAGTTGAAACGGATCTTTCACATATATTCGTACTGCTACAAATAACTGTTTTAATTCAGTCGAAATGCTTCCTGGCTACACCAGCACATCGTCTTTTTAACAAAGGAACTAGCCAAATGCATTTCCTTTCCCTCTTTTTCTGTTCATCCTAGGTAAAATAAGGGAGAAAGATACACTGTGCAATGAAATTTGACGTTTAAGGTTAGTTAACCTTCTGGGAGGAAAAAGTTCATCAGATACCCTTCTTCTAAGTGTCAGCAAATCATTTCCCTCATTTCAAACTGCGATTCAGTTACTTTAGACTACGCCTTAGCACAGATCCAGCAAAAGAGTATTCAGAAATAATTTGTCACGATCCAGCAAAGCGATTGGTTGAAAATGCCCTAGGTATATGCGGCTTCTTATGAAGATGTTGTTAATCTTTTCGCACACTATATCACCTCCCCCTTAGAACAGAGGTTAGTAGTACAGTGATGTATTTTGACTGACAATTAGTGCTTCGCTGGATTGTGGCAAATTATTCCTGAATACTCTTCTGCTGAATCTATGCTGAAGAGTAGTCTGAAGTAACTGGATTGCAGTGACGAAACTTGCCATCTCCCATCTGTATACAGGGTCGGATTGCTCGGCCTCTGTTAGCAGATGCGCTCCCATGAGGATGACTTGATACTGTCAGAGGTCTAGCAGTTCCGCCATGTATAGCAACGGGAAGTGAAAAGTGTCACAACAACAACTGACGCCGATTGAACTAGAGGTGGCTATCGTGGTCCCAGTAGCTAAGTGGATAGAGATCTGGCGTTTGAAGCGAAGAGTACTGGGTTTGAGTCTAGGTAGGAACAACATCACTCACGGTGGTACAGGTAGATCCAACTCGTGAGTCCCAAACAGGATGGAACACGCGTCCTGGATTCCTCTGCTAGTCACCAAGATGAATATAACTGAATTGCAGTTTAAAATGAGTGGAATGATTTGGCGACACTTTAGAGAAGGGCATTTAACGAACCTTCTCCCCTCACCTTAAAGAAATAGACCGATAAGTATTTGCAGAGACATTTGGGTTTTTTGAGCAGGCAGTGCTGTCATACTGTTTTGGTTCTGTTTGCCAACAAACCCCAACTTTCCAGATGAAAACCTGAGATCTTGCGTCTAGTTTGGGCCGGAGTAATCCAGGTGTAGTTGACTGGGATGATAGAGTACTCAGCTTAGTTATAAGTCGCCATAGTCAACACTACAATATACTACCTCGATGATTTGCCTCTGACCGCCTGTTGTACTGAGTGACCCGTGAATTTGGAGTGACTCGGGGTTTTTTAGTTGCCTGCTGGTTAGTGGTTATGATGTCTGAAGTGGTGCTGGTTCGCAGACAGTCCTTGTTTCTATTTTCTTGAATGGACATAAACTGTCACTGATAAATTTGTCCACTATTACGCGAAGCAACTATGTCAACTGATGCGCGTGCAGCGGCACTGAATATCCTTGAGTATTTGTGTAAACGTTGAATTAGTACTCCTTGAGAACTACTTGTGAACATTCTTTGAGAGGTAGGGTTGTAAAAAGGCTGGATGGCACTAAACATGTTACATCGTTTTGCAAACTCATGACAAGAACTTCATGGATTTCATCAACATGATCTAACTGAATGTCTGCATCATTTCCCGTTTTGAGGTGGGTAGTGGAGGGGTTAATAAGCGTTCTCATCCATCGACGTAACATGATTATTACTATCAGGCTTCTTGAACTCATTTTCAGCTTCAGTGTATGCATCGCTGAAGTATTTACGAAAAGTCTTTTTCAAAATCTGAGGAATTATGGATGTCGATCCTGCCTGAATGTCATACAGCATTTGTTTGAATTTCTCAGTAATCTTCAGAGATGAGGTTTCATTTCACTCATTATAGCTTTGGAAAAAAGATGGAAATTTTTTAGGAGAAAGAGTTGCCATTTCTCACCCTTTGACACTTTTTCATATTTCTCTACGATGACTTGATAGACCTTGGATTATGTAAATGTGGATGGATGTACAAATACCTTCTGGTTCTATCCTAAATAGTCATTCAGAGGTTAGTTACCCTTTTCTCAGAAGTCTTTTTAATGCATTCCAACTCTGAAATAATCATAATGAAATAAGGAGAAATGCATCTTATTGTACGTGGCTGGACTGCTGCAAAAGACATAAAATTAACTTTGAAAAGTAAGTAATAAAGGAAAACGATAATATTATTAATAAACATTATTATCATTATTACATTTCTAACCAGTCATGAATAACTTAGAGTCAGTCATATACAGATAGTTCAAGACTAATTATCTAATATCACTTTTACTGTTTTAAAAAGAAAAAACACAGTTGAATTAGTGTTATTCACAATTGATACGAATGTGGTGAATGTTTGAATGCAAACAATTAATCACCATTATTATTATTATACGATAAATTTGATGAAAACGAAGAAAAACAAGTAAACAATAAAATAATTCAAAAATTCCTAAATAAAGTTGTACAAGACTGGTTTCATTTTAGTTTATATTTAAAACTAAAGATCACAACAATTTTATGCTTTTCAGAGTCATTGACAAAACATAACAAAACATACTGATTCAAAATACATACAGATCAATAAAGCACCACTGTTCAGTATCAGGCAGCCTTTTCAACATTCAAATTAGTGAACAAGTGAGTGAATTAGCTAATTAGAAAAACATTAAAATGTGTACTGTTCTTTCTGTCGCGTATATAGTTGAAAAATGCTTTTATCACTGAAGCAAAAGGCGAAGCAAGTTTCTGATACAGTCTAATCTTTAAAAAAAAACGGAATGAAACAAAATGACTGTTTTCTTTTAAGAGACGTCAAAAGCTTTTCAAATTTCCGAAAATTTCCTCGAAATATATTTGTATATGAATAACGAAATCAGAGAAACATAATGGAAAAACAAGCGAAATTTGAAAATGACCACTTTTAGAAGTGACATGAAAGATAAAACATATATATAGAAATAATTATGCATTGTTTATTGGAATTCTTGTTAATTAGGATTTACGACGTACAGAGAAGAACGTTTTGATCGAACGACGATGTCCATTACTCCGAGAACTAATAGGTAGTGTTAATGAACGGGTAGTTGGTTGTTTACTTGCTCCGCTGGTTAAACATTTAGCCGATTCATTGATAGCTGCCACCCAACGGTTAAGAACATTATCGTTCGCTGTTTGAAAAAGATATTCACTGCCATCACCAAGACGTAAACGAAATATACACGGTCTTTTGGTATAGTCTATAGCAGGAGCAGCGCTAGCTGACAATAAGTTCAAAGGTGCTTCATTGTGATAATATACGTTAGGTTTCTCTCGACGACATTGATGGTCTTTGTAAACAAACAACTGACCGGAATCAAGAACCAGATAAAGTGGTAACCAACTTCGACCGTGACTTTTTGAATGATAGGATCCACCAGGATCCATATCATGCTTTCGTATAACTGGACCTTCTAGCCTTGGTAGAGGCGGCTGTTCACTTGTTGCTGCCTCAGGTTCCGGCAATAATTTCTTCGGTGCTTCTTTAACATCCTCAGAAACTTTTATCTTGGAAATTGGGCTAGACTTTCCAACCAATGGTAAGTCCGATTGAGAAGACTCAACTCGCATTGAACGACTGCGGTATCGCAGTTTTTGTTGGTTTCCATCGGACTGGTCACTAGCTTCTCTGTATAAAAAAGTTTCAACAAATAAGATTTATTTTGATATCCAAAGTCTAAATAAATGTCCACTGAAAATGTTGATTTCATTGTAAGGTGATAAATACAAATTTGTAGCCTTTATGGTAGTTAATTTGTTTTACAAACTTGGAATTCTATCAGTGGCTTTAATTTTTATCTCCCTTAGGAGAAGACACGACATGATGACTAGATTGGGCTTGAAAGATCTCCCTATGAAAACCAAGACTTAGAATCAGCAAAATTTACAAAAGACTGACTCTATATTGTTCTGGTGGTCTTTAAAAGTTTTACTGCTTAAATTTCAATGCTCAGTCAAAAGATATGGACAAAACAAATCATGGGAAATCCAAAAACATTTCAACACAAGTGTTTATTTGGTATTTAGCAATGCGAACATAATTTGAGTTGCGAATGACTAGTTGTAGAGTTAATAAATCGTAAACGAAGTGTTGGTACACATTACAAATGTTTATTCATGATACTGTTTTCAGCAGAAAACAAAACTGACATGATCAAACTATGCCACTGAAAGTAGCTGCAAACTTGACCATTCATTTTTCGTGATTTTGACAAAGATACATGATACAACAGGCATGTAGAATAAATGACAAAGTCTTTTGATAAAATCTGATCATAAAAGTGTGAACAACTAAATTTCAGATTCACAATTGAATATGCCAATTGTCCAAATTTATAGCCACTAATTGTACGGTCTTTCGTATTATACTCAAAAACTTCTCTACGAAAGATGCAATCATATCTTATTTTGGAGTAAGTTTTCGATAAAGAACACTACTGTGGTGAATTTGATTAGCAAGAAGCTGTTTATTCCTTCGACTATTTTACACCAAGGTGAAAGTTGAGTGTAGAAAATATGTTTATAATATGATTCCCTCTGCTTCTGGCCAGTTCACTAGCTACTGTACATATTCCACGAGCTTAAGACCGACTTTTTATTTCAGTTAGTCAGTTATATCCAGTTTGGATTGGTATCAATAACAAATAATTACTGGTGAAAATAAACCAGGAAAATTAGTTGCGAAGAGGTTCTTACGGTGTCTGCGGATTGCTACTACCATCACTAGCTTCTCCCATCCGAGAATGATTTGTAGGGGAATTTTCTGGGTAACTCTGAGTGTTTTCTGATGGGCTACCCGATCTCTGACTGGCATCAGCGAGTTCATGTCCTGCAGATAAACTCTCTTCTTTAGTTACAACGACTGGAACGTTTCGCGTGATGATTGGGTCTGCTATTTGTTTAGAACGAATACGTTTGACGGGTTTGGGTGACATTAACGCTTCCTGGTGCTCCAACTCTTTCTCAGCACTTGAATATGATTGCTGAATTTTCTTAGGCGTTGGCGTTTTTTCAGCCAGTAGAGTAGTACTACGTGTTGACGAAATCTGGCCATTAGCTCTGGTAGGAACAATTGGTATTTCATCTGCTTCCGCCTGTTTTCTAACTGCTTTACTAGGCGGCTGTTGGATATAAGCAGCAGATGCAAGAGGTATTCTTGTTGATGGACCTGCAATTGCATTTAAAGGTAAGGTAGTGTTTGATTTTTTCAGTGTTCCAGGTTGTTCAACGTAAGTGGGAAGAAATTCTTTAACAGCATTTCGTACTTTGGTTCGTTTTTCATTTTCTCTCATAGTAATTTCTTGTGGATCCCATTTCATTGCTCTAATTTCAAGCTGAAACAGTTAAAAGATAATATTCTTTCACATAACTGCTAATGACATCATGATAGGCATGAAATAGTTAGGTCGATAAGGTCTGCCAACTAGACTAAGTTATGCAACGTTCCAGTTGCAAGAACTATTAACTGTTATATATATATATATATATATATATATATATATATATATATATATATATATATATATATATGTTTACGAGTATTCATTATTCACTGAATGAGTAAAAAAACCAACGTAGAACTTTGCAAAAAAAGTGAATCGGTCCAAGTTACCATACTCGACAGATGTATACAAAGAACAAGTGAATAGAAAAAGAATGATGCCACGGTAGACAAACTTGTTTGAGAGGATTAACAATCTGGAGACAAGGGTTAGTGAGAACATTCAAGCATTCGATGTTAAAGAGTGAATATACATTTGGGCCATTTTAACAGATTTTAGCCATGTCACCAAGAGTCCTCAGTCACTGATTCCTTTCGTATCGAGCACCCCAACAATGCAGTCTACATCTCAGCACACGGCTCAGATCAACAGTCAGAGACTTCACCGGCTGGTGCGACATCTTGATCTGGTCGCCCTGAACCCTCTTCCAGCATGATCCAAATTCTTATAGCATGGCACTTCAAAGTTAAAGGGTACGTCGACATAAGCAATACATGACCCTAGACGATGAAGGTTCACAGTATCATAGATTAACTTGTCTATGTTGCCTAGTTCCCTTCGCCTGATCTCAACATTGCTCACATAGTGATTCCAACAAACGGAAGGAATAGCACGAAGGTACCTGTGATTGCTTCGTGTCTTCTACTTTTAACAGTCATGTCTCACAGCCGTATAACAGGATAGAACGGACTGGAAACCAGTATACTCGTCCTTTGATAGATGATAGTAGGATATCTGACCAGTCGGCGCCTGAGATGACACAAGTTGGCAGGTCGGTCTGGTGCAAATTCTCAAGTACGTGCGATGGTCGACTCATCTCAGCACTTCACTTACCTTCGCTGAACTGGGAATCCGTGCAGCGAACCAGTACTGGAGCATCATCTAACACTTGACAGGTGTAAGCGAGACGCATGCCAAATATACTCAGATTTTTGCTTAAAGCGTTTACAAGCCTGCACTTTGTCAGCATCTTCACTTAGCAGGACAGCATTGTCTACATACTTCAAGTCAACCAGATGATCTCCAGGAAGTAGGTCAATCCCTGTAAAACCAGACGCTTCGAAGCTAATATCCATTAGTGCGCTTATAAGAAAGTACAGCAGGAATGATGACAGTGATCATTTCTGGTGAACACCACTAGTTGTCATCGACTCACATGACAACTCTCCATAAGCTCTGACACAGCTTCGTGAGTTCGAATAAAGAGCTCTGATCAGCATTATATACTTTCTCGGCATTCCCTTCACAGTCAGACACTGTCACTACACCTCAGGGTCGACAGAGTCAAATGCAGCCTTCAGCTCAACAAGTATGGTAAGTATCGGGCGTTGGCCAGTAGGTATTCCTGTGCTCCAGAACTTGTCGTATGGTAAAAATATGATCTGTGCACCCTCAAACGGTTCTGAAACCTGCTTAGTTTTCTCGAGATTGCTGTTCACCAGCTCCAGTTAAGCGTCGGATAACCACTGAGCCCCTTTGTTTGTCACAGAAAAACTTATCCCCTTCTGATAGACTGGGAAGTACATCAGTTTGACGGCATTACCTCTGATTCCCGTACACTACCCAGTACCTCCATCACTTTAATCAGCGATCTCTTACCTCCATCCTGTTCAGTATGTGCAGATAGAATTTAGCAAATGCTTGGCAGCGGAATACGTTATTTTTTAACAACACTTATCAACTAATTATTGCGCGAAAATGAACTACAATGTTGGACATCTGAATGCGAAAAAGAGTTAGATGTCACCTACCACTAACTTTGAGGTGGTTACTTTGGTTTGCTGATTGTAAGCAATAAAGTGCAGTAGGAATTATTAAAAAAACTATATTTCTTCTCAGATTCCTGAATTATACTGCTTATGCTTTAAGAAATTTGAGTGGTCATTAAAATTCTTTACGGACTGAATAGAAAAGGAACTTTGATTTTCTGTGCCAGTGGAAATCTGTCAGCAAATATTCAACACTAAAAACTTAGCATCTAAAGCGATTATCAACCAACGACCGATTCGGGGGTAAGGCGCAGTTTGATTAGCTTAGTGGTAAATACCCTGACTTCAACGCTAGGTGACGTAAGTATAAATCACCGAGAGAAAACTGATTTTACCAAAACCTACTTAATCTTACTAATGGGGTGCAGCAAGCATGCAGCGTAAATATATATATATATATATATATATATATGTTTACGAGTATTCATTATTCACTGAATGAGTAAAAAAACCAACGTAGAACTTTGCAAAAAAAGTGAATCGGTCCAAGTTACCATACTCGACAGATGTATACAAAGAACAAGTGAATAGAAAAAGAATGATGCCACGGTAGACAAACTTGTTTGAGAGGATTAACAATCTGGAGACAAGGGTTAGTGAGAACATTCAAGCATTCGATGTTAAAGAGTGAATATACATTTGGGCCATTTTAACAGATTTTTAGCCATGTCACCAAGAGTCCTCAGTCACTGATTCCTTTCGTATCGAGCACCCCAACAATGCAGTCTACATCTCAGCACACGGCTCAGATCAACAGTCAGAGACTTCACCGGCTGGTGCGACATCTTGATCTGGTCGCCCTGAACCCTCTTCCAGCATGATCCAAATTCTTATAGCATGGCACTTCAAAGTTAAAGGGTACGTCGACATAAGCAATACATGACCCTAGACGATGAAGGTTCACAGTATCATAGATTAACTTGTCTATGTTGCCTAGTTCCCTTCGCCTGATCTCAACATTGCTCACATAGTGATTCCAACAAACGGAAGGAATAGCACGAAGGTACCTGTGATTGCTTCGTGTCTTCTACTTTTAACAGTCATGTCTCACAGCCGTATAACAGGATAGAACGGACTGGAAACCAGTATACTCGTCCTTTGATAGATGATAGTAGGATATCTGACCAGTCGGCGCCTGAGATGACACAAGTTGGCAGGTCGGTCTGGTGCAAATTCTCAAGTACGTGCGATGGTCGACTCATCTCAGCACTTCACTTACCTTCGCTGAACTGGGAATCCGTGCAGCGAACCAGTACTGGAGCATCATCTAACACTTGACAGGTGTAAGCGAGACGCATGCCAAATATACTCAGATTTTTGCTTAAAGCGTTTACAAGCCTGCACTTTGTCAGCATCTTCACTTAGCAGGACAGCATTGTCTACATACTTCAAGTCAACCAGATGATCTCCAGGAAGTAGGTCAATCCCTGTAAAACCAGACGCTTCGAAGCTAATATCCATTAGTGCGCTTATAAGAAAGTACAGCAGGAATGATGACAGTGATCATTTCTGGTGAACACCACTAGTTGTCATCGACTCACATGACAACTCTCCATAAGCTCTGACACAGCTTCGTGAGTTCGAATAAAGAGCTCTGATCAGCATTATATACTTTCTCGGCATTCCCTTCACAGTCAGACACTGTCACTACACCTCAGGGTCGACAGAGTCAAATGCAGCCTTCAGCTCAACAAGTATGGTAAGTATCGGGCGTTGGCCAGTAGGTATTCCTGTGCTCCAGAACTTGTCGTATGGTAAAAATATGATCTGTGCACCCTCAAACGGTTCTGAAACCTGCTTAGTTTTCTCGAGATTGCTGTTCACCAGCTCCAGTTAAGCGTCGGATAACCACTGAGCCCCTTTGTTTGTCACAGAAAAACTTATCCCCCTTCTGATAGACTGGGAAGTACATCAGTTTGACGGCATTACCTCTGATTCCCGTACACTACCCAGTACCTCCATCACTTTAATCAGCGATCTCTTACCTCCATCCTGTTCAGTATGTGCAGATAGAATTTAGCAAATGCTTGGCAGCGGAATACGTTATTTTTTAACAACACTTATCAACTAATTATTGCGCGAAAATGAACTACAATGTTGGACATCTGAATGCGAAAAAGAGTTAGATGTCACCTACCACTAACTTTGAGGTGGTTACTTTGGTTTGCTGATTGTAAGCAATAAAGTGCAGTAGGAATTATTAAAAAAACTATATTTCTTCTCAGATTCCTGAATTATACTGCTTATGCTTTAAGAAATTTGAGTGGTCATTAAAATTCTTTACGGACTGAATAGAAAAGGAACTTTGATTTTCTGTGCCAGTGGAAATCTGTCAGCAAATATTCAACACTAAAAACTTAGCATCTAAAGCGATTATCAACCAACGACCGATTCGGGGGTAAGGCGCAGTTTGATTAGCTTAGTGGTAAATACCCTGACTTCAACGCTAGGTGACGTAAGTATAAATCACCGAGAGAAAACTGATTTTACCAAAACCTACTTAATCTTACTAATGGGGTGCAGCAAGCATGCAGCGTAAATACATGGGTTCCAGTCAACTGAGTGCTAATGTCCACGGAAAAATATAATATGATTCAATGTTCAGCTGCTTAAGTTCGTAGACAAGCAAGATATTTCAGCTGATTTATTTAAGGTAGCAACTAGCATAGGAGGACAGCGTCATTGGCTATGAAGCGAGCAGTTTTCCATATTTATTATCAACTTAAAATATTTCAAGACATTTTAGATAATGATTGTTAAACTTACACATATTTGATAGCCAAATACACTTAACACGTCCCAATCACCTAAGCAGATGGGATGAGGAACGCCATTTACTGAATATTATTACGCCTAACATGCTAATTACTCACTCAATGATTTTTAGCCATAAATCATGGGTTAAATAAATGTTAACTTAATATATTTTAAATATTTAATCATCTATTTCACAACCATTAAGCAGTACATAACGAAACGTAAGTCAATAAATAAAGCGATAAATCTTGTTTTCATGTAGATACTGTGATACATAGTCGAGAATAAAAACAGAAACGTAAGCAGCATATTCATTTGTGAGGCTGTATTCATCACGGACTGAAACTAGTCTGAGAACCCCTGTAAACCTGGGAGGACTGAACTGCAGTTGTTTTGCCTAAGCATAGGAGTCCTCAGCGGTACGCCCTATGGACTTCACCAGGAACCAAACTCAGCACCCTCAGGTATCGTGGCGAACGATTGGTCAAAGTCCAGTGTTGCACAGTTTCGTTTTCTACTTTTCTTGATTCACCACATAGCGTGAATATTCACCGATGTACTCGCTTCATTTCCAACCAGTAGACCTTATGGGTTATGCCTACTCATTAGCCTTTTGAGGTATCCATCTAGAAGTATGTCGTTAATGAGCACTGTACAGTATTGAAGTGTGAGGTTATGGTGGATTTATTTAATTTAAGGTAGTATTCACCAAGTACAAATGAAGAGTCCCACACAAAGACGAAATAGCTATCCAGTGCTCCTACATTCTCAACGGTTCTCGAGCTGATTTCAGACAGTGATGAATCCTAACTTGTAAATAAAATCCCCATAAACCTCAGACTATATATTCATTCATGTCAGTTCATTCTAAAATACCCTCAGATAGTTAAAGATTTCATTTTATACGGATATTTGTGTAAAGTGGCATGAATATGATTTCTAAACAGAATAAATGGAATCTGACCACAATACATGTTATACGGCGTAATCAAACATTGACGTGTAAGAATGTTTTACTGACTACTAAGAGTAGGGAAGGAATAGTAAACTGCTTTACTCAATTTTTAGTTGAAGTAAGAAATTTAGTCAATTTTCTCATATTTACTGCTACGAAAAACCTAATTATACATCCTTTACAGTTTTTCATTCAGAGTATAGTACAATAAAGTATAAAATCAAAGAGTTGAAACGATTAGTCAACGAGACAGACAGCAAAACTATACGAAAAATATATGTATATACTACTCACTGTAGTTAATCTTTTCAAAGCGTTAAATCGTTCATCTGCTGTGGCCAGTGTCTGTTGAAATGCATAATGTGCACCGAGTAAAGATAACGTTTCAGCTAACGTTTCACCAAGTTGACGACGAGCTGATTCCAATTGTAATTCTTTACCAATTAGCCAAATTTCTGCACTATTTGCATCGCGTGCAAATTGACGTATTTCAAGGAGTAGATGTAACCGATCCCAGCGTTCACGCCATAATTCATTGAGTAGAATACGACCAGTTGCAAGTTGTACACATCGTTCACGTACTTCAGTTCGTGTAGCTATTAAACTTGGTTTACCAGATGTTACTACTGATGGTTTTGCTTCTTCAGTAGTGAATTCAGTTAGTAATACTCTTCCGAGATTTAAACAGTCTTCAATACGCTGATTACGTGATTCCAATTCGACGCGTAACTGTTTATGATCTTCAATTAAGTATTCAACGCCAGAGATATCCCTTGAATAATATCGATAACGATGTAAGTAATGAGAGAAAAATTAGTATAAAATAGACTATATACTACTTGGAACATTTTCAGTAACTTTAAAGTGATATTATGAACTGGTTAATAATAGTAAACCGTTTTTACGTCTGTGAGTTAAAACAACTTCTCAAATAATTTTCCTGTGACATTTATTACAAACGAGATATCTTCCATCGCCTAACTTTAATTGTAAAAAGGTTTTACTTAAAGAGAATGTGCCTGGTTTGAATCTTGCCACAACTTAGGTTTTTATTTCATTTTCCATCATCACCCATGTTAGTAATATGAGTCTGCTGAACTACGGCTATTTCAGACAGTTTTATGAATAAAAAGAATTATATGCGGCCAATTGGTTCATGAAATATTATTATCTGTAGAGGGTCTTGCTGGCGGTTGCTGGTGGTCATAGCTTTCTGACTGTACTAACTGTTAAAGGGGTAGTTCGCTTTTGAATTCTGGTTCCCAAAAGCCATTTGAACTTTTAATTTTATAGAAATAACACCATAAGAAGTTGATTAAGTGATAATTATGGGTTTTTTTACGTTGCTAAACTTTTTCAAACAAAGAACATTTGGATATTATCTATGACTATGTCAAGATATCTATAGGGCAAACCAATGTAGGATCAGAGATTGATTATTTTAAACCACTGAACGTAGAACAAGAAACCAAAGTGTCTGAAAACGTGTAAAAGGCCTATTACTCGGGGAAATTATCGGATACTAACATTATGAAATTTTTCTATAACTCATAAAGTCTCAGTTACATGTGGTGATTATAAATCTAGTTATGAAGTCTTGGCAAACTACCAACCATGTATCCAATCAAGGAACAAACAGATCTACAAAAACATTCCAATTTAATAATCACTAAATGCTTTCTACACTTCCTAGAGTTAAATGAATGCAACACAGTTCTTAACATCTGGTTATAATTGATAATCTTTTAAATCAGTTTTATAAGTTTAAAGGTATACACTTGAGTAACTAGACATCACGGCTCACTACTTGTCAATATGATGAAAATTCCAAGGGCGTTGGCATACTTCTTGCACATACTTATATATGTATATAAATGCTAATTAATAATAGGGATAACAAATAAGAAAGGATATGTTTTGTTGGGAAATGTATACTAGTCTTGACGGCTAGTAACTGCTTGCAAATTTTCATTATCTGTTACTGCTTTTGTATGATTCCTGATATTTTCATCAAATTAAAACGATAGAATGCCCAGAGGGTGAACAATCTGTCGCTGTAACACCTCTCTGGAACATATTCATGACAAAGCAAATAGAGTATGAGATAATAAAATAAAATATTAACAAACTACACAGCTTATGGTTAGAACGATACATTTATGTCATACCCAGTTGCGAAATTTCTCAGTGATTCCTGGGACAGGCAATATAGTCGACTCGACACTGAAAATGGAACCAGTAATGAGAACATGAAGGATCACTCTACTGTGGTGAGCGAACACCGATGATCAGTGTCACCGGTCTTCAACTACTCAAATCTGTCATTAGTATATGTGGCAAAACAGAAATAATCAAGACAAAGCCACAAACATGTATTAAAGTGGACAATTCATATTTTACCTTCAATGTATTTCCCAGTTTTGAATGAAATGATTGCTTTATTTTCATAACTAACATTTGTATCTTCAGATGCAGCTCCATTATTATTATTATTATTCTTAAGTTCAGTGAGATTATTTGACGCAAATATATTACAATCAAATCAGGTTCTGTAATTTATCCATAGTCAATTTCCCCCTTTATTCTCTACCAATGACTATGGTCTGCTATCTGACTTGCACAGTGTTACTCAAGGCTCCAACAATAAGTGTGGTGTTACATGAACAACAGAGTTCATTAAGAGAGAATCATGTTACAATCACGTTTAATATTGATGAGACTGGTGTTGGAGCAGTGGTGATTTGTCATAACCTAGTGATCATTCATTCTGCTATTCTGATAGTATGACCATAGCACCCCTGCTTTTTTGAGGTGTTACAGATGTTTCGACTGATTTCGAAGAGTATATTCTTCATGACGGGTTTATACGAAAGGCTGTTACGTCTCTCCCCAGTATGATGTAATAAACGATTGTGCCACGATGTAAATTACTCAAAAAATAACACCACTAGCAAATCATAGGTAAACAGGGAGTTATAACTAGCAGTAGGGCGTTTGGGAAATATAACAACTAGCGAAGGAAAAAAACAGACAATAGAGTATCACAGGTTTCTTCTGCATTTGTGCGCACAGAATGAAAGTTTGTTGGTAAACTTAGTTTCTGTAAAGTCTGTGACAGCAATAATGTTAGTGTAAATCTTCAAAAGAACTAGTAGTTTTCGTAGGTTTAGTTCCCATTAAAAATCTGAACCATGCAGGAACAAAGACATTTACAGAATAAGATGAGCTCATTTTAGTTCACATCTATTCATCAGCTGCAAACAGCCTACAAGTGTAATGAAATATTAGTAGTAATAGTGATATAACATACTCTAAATTATGTGGAAATAAATGAAGATTCGAAATCCGGGATTAACAACAAGGTAGTGAGTCGAGGAAACATATGGTTAATAATCACAAATCTTAGTCAAAATCAGTGGCAGTTTATAACTGACTAGACAAAAAATTCCGGAGCTGTGAAGATTAGGGGAAAGGGTAGGACAGACAGATAAACAGGAGTGTTAGGTAAGTGTTGTTAAGTGGCTAGTAGGTTGCGTATTTATAGGAAAAATTTGGAAAAACGTAAGGCTGAGTAACGAGAGTAAGTAATTCATAAAGAGATGGTACAATCAAAGGAAGGAAAAACTATATACATAGGCAGAAGAAATCATATGCAGATACCAGGGTAAAGTGATGCGAATTAGGATCTCTTTCTGAGTAAATAAATGCGTCAGGTTGAAAATGTTTGTAGATGATGAAAAGCCATGAAATAAAATAAATGCCTTTTATTTCAAAAATGTCTTTTTTTTGCATTATTCAAGTTTTCTTAGGGTCTTAACTATGTATACTAATGAATATTAGAGTAAGACTTCGTTACTGTGATAAAATGTAATTCCATTTCAGTTTAAATACTAGATTCGTAACAAAGTCAAACAGTGTCACTTGGACACAGTTTACTGTCCATATTCATATCAAGGTAGGGAGTAACTATAGACAGTAAAAGGTATCCAAAATATAATTCGTTAAATAATCCTGTTTTACATTGTGACACATCTAATCAATCAACTAAAATCATCATACAAGTAGGTGTGAAAGTCAAAAATAAAGTTTTTCTTAACGCTTCGCTGTCTATGCCACAGCTTCAGCAGAATATCAGCTAAGATGAATTAGCAACGAGTGTCAACAAGTCATGACTCAGTTATCAAAAGATAATAAAGATTTCAGCGAACAAATTTGTTTTTGGCGATATTATCAACTGTACAATCGCTTTTGAATAGATTTGGTGTGCAAACAAACAACGCATTTCGATGTAATTTGAGAGCCTCGGTTATCAGCATCTAAGAAACTTCATGTCCACATTACTTGGTGTTTTTTCATCAGTTCTTAGACCACTCAATCGAAACAGCTTGGTCATCCGACTGAAGATTATATCAAACAAATGAAAAAAATTGAAATATAATAGCAAAATCATAATAACCTATCCTGAAAAGGTTTGGGTATATTTCTAGGGAGCAGAAGAGATTACGTCAGGAATGTGTTCAATTTTCCTTCAGATGAAATCAGACTCTATGTCAACAAATGGAAAGAAAAGGATATACAGAATTGAGTATCGATTGACTAGAACCCCAAAAAGAGTGAAAAATGAATTATTCATCAGTTCTGAACCGTTTGAAAGACTATGACCTTCTGGGCCAAATATTCCTCGTCTCTACGGAGTATTCGAAACCCATAAACCTGACTTGCAGTTACGTCAAATCCTTATTCGATTGCAAAGTGTTTATCTGAACTTCTAGAGGGTATCAGAAGGTAAGTTTCCAAATTCTGTCTGCTAGATATGGTCTATGTGTAATGCTAACGTTTTGGACTATAACAGTTATATTATCATTTGATATTAATTCATTATTGAAACAGTTTGTTTCATTTGTGAATACAGTGACTGGACTGCAATTAGCCTCGGTATACGAATAAATTTCTTAAAAGAACAACTCTTAAGACGCACCTTTGATATGCAGTTCAGGTTCAGTAACACCTAACGACAAGAGACAGTGTAGCTTAAGGGATACAGTTACATTCACTGTTAAAAGGCATGCATGCGGCAAAACTGTAGGCAACCAAAATCAACCTAGTTATCAAGCAGTTTGAATCCTACAAAAGATATTTTCATAATACATTCGTCGTTAGCGATAAGAATTTTGGCTTGCAGAAATAACTACAGTTTTTTGAAGAATCTTACTCACCGACTAACTTTACAATAGAGGTGGAATCATACTCAAAGATACCATTCCTTTATATCTTTTCTTAACAGGCAGAGATGATGGAACGCTTAGAAGATTTATTTACAGAAAATTTACATGGAACAGATAAATGAAGAGCTACTGCAGTTGGGTTTCAATCAGCAGATAAAGACAATCTGTTTTCTCTGGAATGCGGAAGGGTTGTATTCCCGACACTTTGTAAACGAAATCCAGATTCTAAGATGGACGTTCATAAGAAATGGATACCCAAAGATATCCAATGGCAAAAGTCTCCATCGAGATGCTAGCCATCAGTCATTTATGAGTACGAAGAAAGTGCTAACGAAGACCCATCATATAAGGTATAAAAAAACAAAAAAATGAAGGCTGTCAAACTAATATTCTGAGCAGCCACTCTACAAATCACCAATACCAGTCACTCAGTGGTGTGTGAAAGTCAAACTATCACTTCAGTATGCATATATCAATTTACCTGGTCTTGCGTGGCTGTATGCAGAGACAGATTGGCCAACGCTGATACCAACAACTCCTAGCACGGCTAAGTAAAGGTTAACGTAGATAAGTCAACAGCCCAATATCACAACATTTGCTTTACAGAGTAAACCCAGTTTTAAAAGTTTCGTTTGGACTGGTCGACAAAGTACAACGTAGTCTTCCAAAAAACATGAGGAATCTTCTACTTTGTATTGTTGAAGCTCTGACAAGACAAAAGTTGGGATCAAGAATGTGCATCGGGAAACAACTTCGCCCTTCCCTGTCCTCATTCACTGCTTAATTTCTAATCTTTGGAATTCTTAGTTTTAATTTTGTAGATAAGTAAACAATTATTTTTGATTGTTAATAATTTCTCAATTTCTTCCTCACTGACAAGCGTTTAGTGACTTGGTTATGAATTCTTTAATATCCGATCATGATTATTCTACTTATCAAATTTCTGCATAGTTCGTGCGTAAGTTTCATTCCCATATTATTTTCCTGGCCTACTAGGAGTTACTGATTAACAAATATTAACCATTTTTACCGATAAATATGAAAATCAGTTATATTTAAATGGTATTTTACTGTTGGTAATGACTCAGGGGTGGCAAATTTCTGTGTTTACTTTTGTTGGACTTAAGACAGAGGGTTATTAGAGGGAATGTATTCAGCAGAACTAACCTTGGTCTTTCTTTATGTTCCATAAGGTCTTTAGCATACTCTAACCACGAAATTAATTCCCTGGCACTGACCAGAAAATCATGTAATCGACTGGCTTCTTTCAACAATTCACGTCTTATTTCAATAACTTTTAATAAACGTTTCCATATCATTTGAACACGTTCATGATGCGCTTGTAATTGTTCCTCTTGTAGCCCAGCATAACGAGGTAATAATCGTTTAGCCGTTAAATCCAACTGTTTCAGTTGATCACTGAAACATGCAAGTTCTTGCTCCAGTAAATTATGACTACGTTGTAATCCTGGTAGACCTTGTTTACGGCCCGACGCCAGTGAATCTGATGGTGCTTCTGGTAGATATTCTAAGCGATAACATATCCTCTCCTCAAAATCCTACAATTTAAAAAAAACGATCAAAAAAGGTCCAAATATATCAACGATACTAAAATATCACAATAACACGTTAAATACACTTCATATTGGCAATAGTGGCCACGTCATCCTGGAGAGACTAAAAAAATTCTTTGTATTCAGAATAACAACCGGAAAAAACAGGCTGGCTGGCTTCAGGAAGTACAAATCTAGTGCGTATCAAATTGTAATGCTACGCATCATCAAAGAACAGAACATAGAATGCCAGTCAACTCTCTATCTCTACCTCAACTTCATCGATTTTGAAAAGGCCTTCGGCAGCGTCAAATCAGAAGTAATTTAGCAGCTGCTGCTTCAACACTACGGTTTCAGTGCCACAAACCTTTGTCAACCTCATTTAACAGCTATATGAAAACGCCACATGCCAAGTGATCCACAATGGATAGGTAGCTCAGTGACTCCTTTGCAGTGAAGAAAGGAAGGAGTGAGACAAGACTGCCTACTATCACCGCTGATATTCCTGATTGTGGTCGACTGAACTGGACTGGACCATGCAACATACAATTGTGGGGAGGAAGAAGGGGAGCTTAGACTGGCTGGACTGATGGAAAGACATCAGAGGAAGATTTGAATTTCAGTAATGATGAGTTGTGCCTAATGTCATGTCGCACAAACTCGAAGATCTACAGGCAAAAACCAACAAGTTGTAAGAAGAGACAAGGCAGCGAAGACGGGACTTCCCTTCATATGAACGCAGAGAAGACAGAGGTGATGAAGATACCCAACCAACAGCAGCAACAACAACAACAAACACCAATCACCATCAACGGGAGAACTCTGAAGGAAGTTGTCTCTTTCACCCACCCACCTATCTAGGCAGCATCGTTTCAACTACAGACGGCGGCACAGGCACAGATGAGGACGTCAAAGACAGGATCGGAAAGACAGCAAGACAGTCCTCCCTGCATTCACCTGAAACCAGTGTGGAGATCTACTCCACTCCACTCCACTCCACTCAGCATAAACCGTGAACAACATCCAGATTTTCAACACTCATCCAGTCAAGTGAGTCAGTGCTTCTATGTGATGGTTGAGAGACTTGGCACGCTACGCAAAGCATTTCCAACGAACTACAGACGTGCATCAACAGCAGCCGCCTACGATCACTCCACTCGATACTGACACTGAAGATGGAGATCAGATGGATGGTCAGAATGAAAAGAATAAGCAAGGAGGAACTCACTCTGGTTAGTCCCACAACGAACCGAGGAGGCAAGAACCCATCGCCCAACAGATATGTGGAAGAAAGTGGAGATGGATTGGATTGGGTTGGGCATACACTGAGAAGACCGATTAGGGACATCACAAGCCAGACCAGGCCAGACCAGGCTGTCGAGTGGGACCCGCATGGTATAGGACGAGTTTGGCGTCTGAGGTGAGGGTGACATGGAGATGGTGTGAGAAAGAAATGAAAAGTTGTGGGTAGTGGTGGAGCCAGGTTGGAAAGACTGGAGAGAAGGGAGTGAAATTGTGACGTGCTACTGAAGCCTTTTGTCTCACTAGAAACCTGAGGGACTAATGATAAAAGGAATAATAATTTGCAGTTGTGAACCATGAAAAAAAATGAATAAAAGGCAAGTTTCAGAAAAACAAGGTATAAAGTCTCTAAAGAAGATAAGAAAATATAAGTGGAAAATTAAAGTCAGAGAATAACTGGAAATTCTTATTTGGAATAAAAGGAAAATAAAGCTAACTGATACTTATTTAATGTGTGAATATGTTTCCAAAATCTTTTGCGAGGAATGAAGAGCTACAATTATTTCAAATGTCTTGAAAACATGTTGACATTTGAAGTTTAGTATCGATCAAGAAGAGAATTTCAGAGAAGTTTTTGATTTTCGTTTGAACATAAATTGTTTTTAGAAAATTCACTTTTAACAACCGTTATTTGGCATTCAGTAAGATTTACAAACGATTAGATAGATTGCATTTCAGTCTGCTTGTTATAAGTTTCACACAGTGAAACAGTATCATTTTTCGTTTCGCTGTATGAAATTTATAATTAACAGACTAAAATGGAATTACAATCGACTACACTGGCCAAGTTTTACTCCTAAACTGGATAGATTAAATGTAATAGAATTTGTCAGCAACTTAAGCTATTTATGGTTAAGTAATTTCTCTAGAAAATGTCAAATCTTAGCTGAAAAATTTGTTGACAATGATGAACATCTGGAAAAAATAATTTGTTATCATCCTTTCCAAAGCATACTGCTGTAATTTATCTCCCGGTATATTTATTCTCGCCAGTAAATCGCAACCTAATTATTTAGTTTTACTTATTTGTTTTCGTCTACTTAAATTTAGGAAGTAGTTAAAATTATACTAAAATATAGTCATAAAATAATAAAAGTTTTAACTGATTGTATTTAACTGTTACTAACCATAGTGAATGATATATTGTAATTGTTAGAATGAACCCATATTTATGAGCATATGATCTATTCTATCCTGGAAGTGATCAGAGTAGAGATGGATTACGCTAACGCCCTACTAGATTTTATCTTTCATAAATAGTTCGTGCAGTTGGTATGATCAAAATTACATTGAAAAGAGAATGAGTCACTCAAACGCCCATTTCGTTCTAACAACCAAAAACATAGACACACCCAAAAGTTATCTCTAAAAACTAATCAATTTCAGTAGATTGTATAGTATCCCTTTTATTTAATCCTAGTTACACTAAATAATGTTTATATTGATGTACAAATTTTGAAATAGTTTTCAAGGAGAGCCAGGTGATTTGTCAAATAAATTTCCATACGAGAAATAACCGTTTAAAAACACAATACATTTAACAGGTAACATTTTAATCTACTAATAACCGAGTAGTTTATTTTATCCTAATCTATTTACATTTCGAAAGATCAGTTGAATATTATCCATAAATATATTGATACTGAGTGATGAATGAAGTGATAATGAAAATCAGGGTCATTTTAGCATTTAAACCAGTGACCTCCGGCCACGGTCTAGATTTTCATTACCCCTTCATTTATCAACCAGTATCATTAAAAGTCTGACAAATTATGGGTAGTCAAACTAATGAAAATAAATATATTTCTAATGAGTATTTATACAATCATAAACTACGAATTTTGGTAATATTTCAGGGCAGGACTAGTGAACGTGATCACATCAATCTGTGGGACTCCTTAAGAGCTGAATAAGTAATCTCTACAGTTAGTGGGATCACAGATAATAGTTTTGCTCAAGATATGAATCAAATTGAAAGTATATTGACGTGTGGAAATATTCATCACAAATATAACTACGATAGACTGATTCAGCCCACAATATATAAACATCTCATTGATATAATTAGTTGAAGATATTTGATTGTTATAGATTTTTGGTTATGTTGCTGGTATGAAGGTGGCTTTTGAAGATTTTTAGTGCCAAGAAAGCCTACCTCCTAGGTGATAGGCAGATAAACAGTCGACGAAGGTAAGCTATACACTGAGAAGAAAATAAAAACTTTAGGTGGCATACCATAAAGAAGAAAAACTATCTGTTTGACGCTTGATTAGGATACCTCAGCTGTCTTTTCAATAAATAATTTATTTTTATGTCTCGACACAATTTAAACTATTGCAAACATTGCATAACATTTCCTGATGAAAGGAAAAAGTGGACCAGAAAACTCAGTTTCATAAACAGCATATTTGATTTAAGTCTGCTATTCAAATGATCAGTTTATCAGGAGGCAAGCTTGTCCGACTTAGATATTTTAGCTGCGTAGAGTATCCTTTTTTGGTAGGAACAATATACTGAATAACAGCTTCAACGATGCCATATTACTAAGACTGAAGTCACTGTCTTGGAAATGTTCAAAATCTTTAGAAAATGAAGATATTTTAATCCTAAGAGTATATATTTTCTTTTCTAACATTATCTTAGTTCGTAATTTCTAAACACATTTTCTACAATGATGCAGATCATATGTAGTTCATAGTAAGGACCATGAGAATTATTCACGATCACGGTTTTGAAATATTGATCCCACTATTAACAAGATTGTAGTCAGAACGGTATTTGTAGCAGAGGAGGAATAGATCTCAGTTTATTGATTTATCATCAGTTATAAACAGCGTATAAGTTTTATTGCATAATAAGCACATAATGTCAGGTACACATTCTAGTAATACATTAATTTTTTTACAAAATCTAGTCCAGTTATAATATTCAAATTCAGTCAGAAGTATATTTATCGATGTGAGGGATCCGTTGGGAGACACTCGAACCAAGATAAGATGGTGAAGTTAACCTTTATCTGGACAGAAATGTTAAGCAGGTCCGATACGAAAAGATAATAAATGGAAAGGAATTAAGATGTCATGAAAGTACGGAGTGAATATGAGTGAAGATGTATTTAAAAAATGAATAAAATTAGAATATTTTCACTATTACTGAAGTAAAATGCTGGAAACTTCTCCACCTGGAAAACAACTTGACTACAATTTTATTTTGTACTAATAGGCTCAGTAGAATAGTGAAACTTTGGTTTTCTTCTGATGCTTGTTGTAATTGTAAGAGTGCGAACTGCTGAAAAGCCCCATAATAGGACGAAACAGAGGTCCAGTACTTGCGGGTTTCCAATGGTTCTTCAACTGATGTCAGCCCACGATGAATACTAACTGGAAATAAATAAAATCCCTACGACTGTCAAACTAAGTTACTGCATAGTACTCATTACTGACATACTTTGAGATGGATATCCCAAAGATCTTGTGGGGTTAGCCATTTGGAAGTAAAGTAGATACCGATTAAAGACCATGGTGAATAGTCACGTTATATAGTGAAAAGACAGTAGTAGAAAACTGTGGACCACTGAAATTCAGCTGAGTTTCTGACTAGTTACAGGATTCACTGCGAGACCTCGGCGTCTTGACTTCAGTTATGGAAGCATACTACTAAGGAGTTCCATACCTAGACGAATCACCTATCCACTGCTTCCAGGTTCCCAACGGCTCTTCAACTGGTGACATCAGTTCGTCATAAATACTACCTTAAACATAATATCCTGATAAACTTCAAAAGACTATTGTAAGTGTTTTCGGTGTGCAGATACTTTACTTTGCTTTCGTTTTGAAACTAGCTAGTAGGGCACTTAAATGAGCCTGTATGTTTACTTGTCACCACCTGAAACTAGATTATGTACGTAAATTCAAAGCGATAAGTCTAAATGATAACAAAAGCATCGAGTTAAATACTGGTTGAAGAGTCTTTGACCTGTGAAAACCTGTAGCTTCTAAGAAGAAAAGATTTATTAGATATTACAGACATTTAAACAGTCTCAATGAGGACAGAAGAGTTTGGAGTGTTATCACGTAAGAATGTGAGTGTAATTACGTCACTTACTCTACAATCATTGACAAATCGATGCATATCCAGTGCAGCTTTTAACAATTGTCTTCTTGTCTCAATTAATTCCAATAGTTCAGCCCATATTTCATTGATATTATCTTTAATTGATGCTATTACAACAGAATCTGATCTCCCCAAAGTAATAAGATGTACACATTTAGCTGATAAAGATGCAACGAGTCGTGAACCGATTTGAGTAGTCTCTTTGGAGAATATTAAAAATTTATCTCTTAGATTACAACAATGATCCAAATCATTTCCAAGATCATTATTAGTTGCCTGTATAACACGTTTATTGATCCATGCCTAAATTACCAGATAGATAAAGAAAGAAATATGGGTGAATATTAATAACTATGCAATGAAAACTAGAAGAGAAGTGAAGAGCCGTTACAGTGAGAACAAAGAATTTTTAAATGTCCGTTTTGATAGGTAGGATTCCATCTATATTATTCTGCGCATTTTATCTTTCAAAAACATACAACTTTGGAAATGTTATGTAGAAGTAACTTGTTAGCTGGTAAAAGCCAATGGCCAGCATGCTCTGAATATGGTTTCCAGTCTTGTTGGCAATTATCGACAAGGCTTATTTATGGTCATGAGGAAATTGGTGTGATCTTGGTGACTCAGACCTGCGTAGCCCAAGACTGGAACGTTGTAGGATTGGATTATATCCACAAATTGGCCACCAGTGGATAAAAGATGTAACAGTCTAGTCCACAGTGGTTAGTACTGGTCAAAGTTTATCTTATATTTCATGATATGAAATACTTTGCTTCCTAATAGCACATCTTTTTAGTTATTTGGTAGTACGCTTAATGTAATGTTTTTCCCAGAACCAGGTGAACCAATGAATATAAGTAGATGTAGTGAAATTGAATAAACAGCTTGATTTTAAACTCAGCAACAAGCATTTGTGGATTGGACATATTCGTTCAAACAGCATCATCGAACTTGTGGTATTTAACTTCACTTCATTTCTTTCGCAATGGTTGTTGATTTCGGCTTCGTGTTCAGTTTGTCTGAATTATAGTCGATGGCATTTTGAGGGTAACTTTCTGTAACCTGACATTTTTTTCCATTAAAGTATGGAATGAAATCATTTTGACGCTTCACATCCTTAGACATTTAGTAATTATTGACCAATGCCTCAATTATTGAAATAGTACAATATAAATACGAGTTTATTTCAGGAAAGCGAACTAATATCAGTGAAAGAAGCTAATATGAAGGAGTCAATTTCAGGATGCACTATGTTTGTAAATGTTATATTTGACAGCGTGTACTACAGGCCAGTCGATAGAATCATCACAGTTTGCCATTGAGCTCGATTTCCACAGAAAATGCTTTCAAACTAGAAAACTGAATTCTGGTAGATTTCTTACCTTTAGTAGGAAGCACAAACACAACATTTTTGGTAATTCTGGGACCAAACAATTAATTTCTTAATTAATCAATTAGCTAAATGAATTTATGAATGATCCTTGTAAATGAGCCTTTAATGTAAAACAAATAGACAATGAAGACGAAATACCAGGCACAGTTTCATGACGTACCTCTAATTCATCAGCTTCACGAGTTAAACCATATCTAATAGCGTTAGCTTCCAACATTGTGGTCACATCATTAACAATACCCTGTAGGCTTTTATAGGAATGACTAATCCGATTCAAATAGGTTGGAATTAATTTCAAATAAAATTGTGATTCCTGTATAATATTTGTGTCAGGATATTTTGTTTGCTGAATTTGTAATTGTTGACATAATATTCTGCCTTGTTCACTGTGATTTTTAACACGTTCATGCCACTGTTCAATTGTCTGTGACCTTGTCTGATGTTTCTTTAGATTATTCAAAGCACTTTGTTCAGTCTAGATAATTTTGTGTAAGAATTTTTAAAAAACAAGGCGGATTAAAACTACTAATTCATTGTCTATTATAATCATTACGGTGGCAATAAATTATGTTGAAACAGACCCTACAACAGTTATATCTTCTTGAGTCACTGGTCATTGTAAATATCACACTATCCCATATTAGACGAATTACTAAAAACACAAATTGAAGGAAAGAAACTTTCATATTTGATGAGCGCTTACAAATAAAACGATGCATGCAATGTTGGGTAGGGATGATAATATAGCACATTCGAATTCAACCTAGTCAAAGATATCATACGAATGAAAATCCATTTATGTAATGTGAAATGTAAGTCTCCATTTACAATTGAGTTGCATTACTGTTTCTCTTTGCTATTGAATAACACTTGATTTCTTGAATTATTATACAAATTAAGTAATCCTTTGAAACGAACTTAAGTTGCAGCAGTTCCCAATGAATAAGCTATATTTAATACCATCATTAGTCAGTAATGCTACTTTTGAGAATCAGATGATGTTAACAAACTGGTGTTCAGATAATCGGCAAACAAGATTGTCTTCTAGTAATAGAGAATAGAATAATCTTTCCGAGTTTTTTCGATGCATGAACCTGTATGTGATGAAATACGTAACCTGGTGTGGTGTCCTAACGAAAACACCGATCCTAACTTCGGAATTCTTATTTTTACCGAGGCTGAGACAATATTGTTAATAACTAGGTTGCCAAAAAATAAAGCACTTAACAAAAGATAATGAAGAGGAGTGATTCCAAGGTCATCCTAAACACTTGCGGCTAATCAGATTCCGATAATTTATGAAAAACTAGCTGTATGGTTGGTCATCCCAGCATTTGCCAAGGTAGGTTTCCGAGGCAAGTAAGACTTCAAAAGCCATCTTGACAACTGAGGTTGACTTTAAACGTCACCCTAGGAACGATCGAAGTAACCAATTAGATCTCTTCATTTCGGCTGGAAAGGCCGATTTTCATAAGATACAGAAATTTAATTGGCTACTTCAGTTGTTACTAGGGTGCCCTTTAAAGCCGTCCGACTTTAAAAGCCACCTTAGTAAGCTGATCAGATAACCAGTTATGTCCCTCTACTTAATGAAAAAAACATTGTAACAGGCGGAATATCTTAACGTGATTGGTTATTTCGGCAGTTGCTAGGGTGGCCTTTAAAATCACTCTTAAGGTCACTGCTATGGCTAGGTCGAAGTTATTCGTTTAGGCGTTTCTATTATAATGGTCATTTCAACACCCAATTGTGACACTTCAGATGAGAAAAAATCGTTTACTATCCTACTTTTTGGTTCTATGCTATAAAGTATAGCCAGGGCTAAACGTCGCTAATATTTGAGTTTCATGTATAGAATTATAGAACTATGGAATTATTATTTTACTAACCGAAATTTAATCTTGGCAGTTATACATAGACGAATATCGATTATATAGTGGTTCAGATTTTAAAGGTTTTGTTTCGAAAGCTATACAAGAGTTCCGGTGGGAACTGTTATTACAAAATTGGATTGGGGCTGTTTGACTGGGGCTGAAGAGTATTTTTAGTGTTTGTAATCGGAAAAAGGCAACGAGACACACTCAAGTTGTTTTAATGTTATCATTTTTGTTTTGACTAAATGCATAACGGAAATCAAGTTCAACAAGATCGCTGAACATAAGAAACATATATGAATATTCAGAAAATAGTAAGGTCGTCAGTCCGTACTTCTGAGAAGTCCCATACTAGGACAAAATAACTTTCCAGCGCTCCCAGGCATTCAAAGGTTCTCCAACAGATGTTAGTCAGTAATGAATATCTCTTTGAAATAGCCAAAGACTTAGAAATGATTCCATTGAGTGACTTTTACTTTTTTTGATTCTACTGTTAAGTAAAATGAAAACAATATATAAACAATGAACACATAAATAAGTTTTAAAATGAACTTTTGGTGTTTCCACTCCATGTAAGTAAAAGTCTTCTTCTGATATCCAGGATTCCAGTTCACCAGCATCAAGTAGAAATTGATACACTGATTCAGACATTGTAATACGCTCAAGTAGGCATGTTAAATTCCGATCCAATTTATTCCATGAGTCTAGGAGCTCTTGTATAAGACGTGTAAATTGTTGTTGTTTAGCAACTGAAACATTTGATTCCTCTACACAGTATTCCTTTTCAATATTCTAAGGGTAGACAGAGAACAATGCAAAGAAAAAAAATTTTCTTCTGAAAGAAATGAAATAAAGTAGACAAGGTGACAAACATATGGCTCTTCTGAAAGTATAAATTATTAGCAAGTGGAGGTGTATGATCACTAGGCTGTGGAAGTGACTTTTACAACTTCTTATGATTACTGACCATTTCCACACTACAGGAACGTTATATATATATATATATATATATATATATATATATATATGTCAGTGTGACTACAAGAGATAGCGGTGGTTGGGCAGACATATTGAAATTAGATTATGACTGGAGTTAAAAACGGAATTAGGGCCGCAACAGGATTCAAAAAAGCAAGCAACGGGTTTCCAAAACAGAGGTCTATCAACTGAGCTTCCAAACCCGACTGACAACAAGATTTTTATTTTTTTTCTCGACCACCACTAGAATTCACGACATATTGCCATCGCTTGATCGTCCTTAAGGTGACTCCCCAGTCAAGACCTCTCATCGCAATCCAAATCTACTTGAATCAGCGAGAGGGAGCATCATATTGATTATCAGTTTGACTTTCTGAGATAGCTGAGGTTTGGCTTTATTCGTCAAGTTACAATTCAACAACCAGAACTGATAAGCCGTTCGGTAAATGTTTAGGTTTTTCACTCTGGTTTTTTATTTGTTTCTGTATTTAATAAGGTAGCTAAATTTGTAAAAGATTATTCATCCCATCGTAAAGGGCAAAAGTGGTTAACTGGATTCGAGTTTTTAGTGTCTAAAATTCAGACTTGTATGGTTTTCTTGAAGTATAGCAAAATGGATAGTTATAAGCGTGAACGGACACCAAGGCTTACCTTACACAAAGCTTTGACTCGAGGTCTACGATTGTTCGCTTCCAGAATGTGACTTTTCAACTGTCTTTCCAAACGATGTATAACCATTAGTCGTTGGCCGATTTGATAAGCTTTTTGTGGATCAAGCTCAAGAGTTTTAGATAAATTTTCAATTTGTAATAATTTCTCTCTAACCCATGTACCTTCTAAAGTTAAATCCAATATACCTTGAGTTGATGTTTGTAAAAGTTTAAGATTCAAAAGTTTTTGATTCAGAGGTTCATTTAATGCTGACAATTTACGTTCAAGGTCATTGATAATGGCGGAAAATTCTTCCCTTTGATTAAAATCAGGTGCACTGGCTTGATGCTAAAAAGCGTAAAAATAAGACTCAATTTGATAGCATATTTCAACTACGTTTTGCTGACCACTTATTTTTTTATTGAATTTACACGAGGGTAAAAAATGTTGAATGAGTGACTGGAAATTAACCGAGGCAGGAAATAGCATCAAGTAGAATGCGCGACAACTTGATAGTTTTTCGCTGAACAAAATGCATCACGTATGCATGGATTGTATTGAAACAAAGCAGGTAACATAAGGTTTTGAGTTTGACACAGAAATCATATTTCCTGATGTTTCACTCACTAGAAAAAAACATTGAACATAGAACTATTCATCTATAAACAACAAATATGAAACGAGGATGCAATAATCGCTCACAGCTGGTATTGTAACTAGTAGTTCACACGTTTAGTTTTATTGGAACAAACTGATCAGCCACCCTTAACATATGAGCTCTTTGTGCAGATGTTTTGATACTGACCGCGATTTTATTTTGATAGTAACGGTCAGTATCTTCAAGTGTAATCTATAACACAAGTTACATCCCGTCCGGTTTTCATCAGCTGCTTGTAGCTACGACAGGCAATTGGGTGTAAGAAATGATTAAATAAAGTCTGACTCACTTTCATATTAGTCTTACTTACTGTATGCCATTTTGAAGTGAGCAGAAACTTAGCTTACTTTTATGAGATCGATATTTTCAGCGATTGACTGTCCTTCTTACTTATCGTGGAATGTTTGGAAAACCCAAGATTCCAAGACAATTGGGATATTTCAAAAGCAAACTTATTAGTCATTCAACATTTCCGAGGAGTTTCCCTGGTGATGTTCTTAAAAGTCATTTAAAAGGTTTACTTTAGTTGAGTGTGTACAGCCCTCAACCCGTAGGTTAGCTGTCTAGTTTTTATATCTCACAAGCCTCAATGATGATTCATATTAAGCAACCTTATTACTTCTGATATTTGAATATACACATAACTAATTTGCGTCTTGTGATTAATGAATATTGGCTTCGATTTATTATCTCTCATATGTCTTTGCTGTATTAATAAAATCCTGTGCTTAGTTTGATATTCAGGTCCCACTGTAATAACATTCTTAGATTAGAAAACGGTGTTTCCATTGCTGATACTTAAAGTTTGATGTATAACTAAAACTTTGTTTAACGAAATGACTCTACTGGTAAGGATTTAACTTTATTAAAATATACCATTCAAGGTCCTTTTTCACAGTATGACCTCTATATGAGTTAATATCATTGATGAAATTCCAAACAACAGTGCTGCAACATAGATATTCTTGGGTATTTAATCATTTTATTCTCCTTAGTAAAGTTTGTAAGATGACTGATTCCAGCTTTCCGCGATAATCTTCGTTATCATAAACCAAAAAGCAATACGAAAGGGGCCGGTTGCAGACGAAATCTCAGCTCGGACAAAGATGGCGCGTTTTCCACTTGTCAACTTGCCTCATTTCAGGTACCGACTGACAGGATATCCGACTACCTATCGAAGAACGAGTATAGTGCGCTGTAATCCATTCTGTCTTGTTGTACGGGTGTGAGAAACGCCCGTTAAAAGTAGGAGACAGGAAGTGATCACAGGGTTTTTATCACAAAAACCTTAGTGCCATCGGTTGCTTTAGGTGGAATCGTCGTATGAGCAATGTTGAGGTCAGAAGAAGGGTACTAGGCAGGATAGGCAAATTGATTGATGAGGCTGTGAACCTCCATTGGCTGAGATGGCTCGGACAAGTACTGCGCATACGTCGAATTGTGCTAGGGTAAGTTGGAAGAGAGTTCGGGGTGATTTGATCAAGATGTGTTACCATTTCATGAAGTCTCTTACTGTTGGTCTAAGCCATGTGTGGAGATTTAGACTGCGTGGTTTGGGTTCCCGGGACGAAAAGAATTAGTGGTTGAAAACTCTTGGTGACATGACTGAAAATCGGTCACAGTGGTGAAGATGTATTCACTACTTTATATCTTCTAAAGCTTGAATATCTGGACTAACGTTATCTACTTTGATATCACGCCTTTCCTGACCACCTATTCTTCGTATACTACTGTAAAGTGAGGCAACTTGTGCTGATGCACCTACATCCAAGTTTCTACGTTGATTTCGTCCGTCAGTCAGCAAATTAGTCAATTAATGGGGCTGTGACAGAATTATTTGTTCATTGCAGCATCTAAGTGTTTATGTCAATAATCTTTGGATCTCTGAAATGTGAGTAATCCATTGTTTATAAAAGAAGAATATGTGGTTTTCGATGTGCAACTGTCTTTCTCAGAAACAACCAAGGTAGTGATGCCCAGAGTTATTTGTTGGTTATTTTGATTTCATTTGGTTAAATGAACCCCTTTGCGTTTTATTTAGTACAGGAAGTTGTAAAATGTGAAATTCAGTTCTTCGTATTGAAATTGTAAAAAAGACAGAATGAATAAGACTACTTACTCCTAGAAGAAAGTTTATGAAGTAAATACTAATGATGTCATCAAGCTTAGCGATGGAAAACTCATGATCAAATATTGAAGCTTCGAGAACAACCAACACACACTGATTTCATCCAAGGTTAAATATATCCTAGATTATTTTAAAGTGCAGTTATCAAAGTGTAGAATAAGATTTAAAAACAGTAATACAATGTTTATAAACGATTAGCCATCGCCATTATTTCCTGTTCATGTTCGTTGATTTAGAAGCATCAGTAGCTTTCAATAAAAAAATGTGTTCTGTTTAACTCATAGTAACAGTTTGTGTTACTTTAATAACTTTCGACTTAAATAAGATGAATTACAAGAAATTTTTTTGATTTCGAATCGCCTAGTGAACTGAATCTCAAAGATATAAAACGCTGATTGTAAACTGAATCGTAGGTGATTTCTATTTAAGCCAAGTATTCTTCAATTTTTTCGAAATAGGACGACTTTGAAACCACACAACTATTTGTAAATCTATTCTTAGCTTAATAATACTAGTGGTTGAACTAATAACTTATATATGTAGAATGCAGCTGACAGACGGAAACAGCTCTATGACATATACCAATAGCAATCAAACGCATGTTTATCGCCAACCTAATTAACAAGTGGTACTAAGGTGATAACTAAAAGTCATCTAAGTGAAATATGAAAGTTATTATTTATTGATACTTATGACTTCCCGCTGTTATCATGGATCAAATCGATTGACCTCTGTTAGTACATGGCTCTTATGTAGATGCCTAGTGGATAACGTTTTGGTGTTTGAAGCTGTTGGATGCAAGTCTCAGTGGGAACAACATTACTCACTGGGATGCAGGCATATCCAGCTGACAAGTCTCAGATAAGACGTAACGGGCATCCTGGATTTCACTGCTAGCCGCCATAAAGCAAATTACAGAATATAAAGGGGTATCGAATAATTTTCTTCAAAGTAACTAAATCGAACAGAAATTCGACTTTAGATTCATCGCCTACCTTTAAAACACTTATTACACTTTTTTGATCCATATATTCTTTGACTCTTTTGTTGTGATCCTTTATTTGTGTTTGTAATGTGATCATATCAAGCACTTCAACTGGCGATTTCTCATCTGCTTTCTGTAAGTGTGCATTTGTTACTTTAAGCCACATAGCAGTTTTCTGAATTGCCTCTTTCATCAACTTTTCTAAACAATGAACGTGAAGAAAAATATTACTTTAGTGTCACCAATGATAGCAGAGGAAATGCATATCAATAAAAAAATGGTGTTCGATAATACTAATCGTGATAATCACCGTAATCTGATGACCAATGTTTCCAGCACTTCATTAGAGAAACAGCTAGTTCATGAAAACAAACATTAGCCATTATTACACATCGCTGAATGTGCAGGTTAAATTAAACTGTCAGAAAAATATTTCACAATTCCAGAGAATATATAAACAACAGATAAATAGCTATGTACTACAAAATGGTACTACTAGCTATGCTAGTTTTCTCCACTTTTCGAGTTAAAAATGCATTCGATACAAAACTCATAATAGTCCGGGAGTAAGACATAGGCACTGTGGTAGATTATAGTCCCATATAAGTCTGTTTACGAGAAACATCACAAAGTGAAACAACAATATTTACTGGATAACGTTTTGGACATAATTTATTTACTATCCATTTTCATATCAGATAACTTTCCAACTTTGAAACAAAATTTATACAGTTCTAATCTTCTCTCCTTCTTTGTGATACAGTAGAATTTTCCGTATATCTGAGACAGGTGCAAAATCATTTTTATTGCATATACTTGGTGTTGATTCGATAACCAAAGAACTAGTTGTCAGTTCCTCCCTCCGTTCAACTAAGTTTTGAATACTGTCGCTCTTAAGTGTAAGACTTGGTGTTACTATGGTCCGTAAATTATGTCAGAAACGTTATCCAGTAAAAAGAACTGTCTCAACTAAAATCGAATCTATTATTCTTGGTTTGGATACGTTATTGTGTTTCATTATTCTAATCGACCCCGGTCGACCACTTTGATCCAGTTATTTAACGTCGCAATCAGTGGGAGGGGTTTGGTAAACTAAGCTGTTTTGCCTAATTGGATCTATGGGATCATTTAATTTGCAAAGTGACCAGGGTAAATTAGAATAACAAAGCACAAAAAAGTATTTAAATCCAGATTATTAAGTGTGAGTGACGCGGGTTTGAATCACACGAAGGACATCAATTCCCTTGAACTTGCAGATATACTCTGCTGATGAGTTCCAACAAGCACCAAACTTAGGTCCAGAGCTTCCTGCCGATCGTCACCAACCAACTAACATCTCTCTTGATGCACCATGGTAGTGCGCTTTCTAGCTTGGTGGCCACATCGCAAAATGATTGGCAGGATTTGATCTGCACGCAGGACTAGGCAACATGAGATTGGTTGCCCATCAGTGGCCAGTCATTGTATGTTGTCCAGTTCCACTGGAAGTCAGTCGCAGCCCGAATAGATCAATGGTAACGTCGCTGACTGAAACACTAGGTGACGCAGGTTTGGTCCTCACAGGGTTCATCAATTCTCTCAAGGTTTCAAATACACATTGGAGACGAGTGCTAAAAAGCACAAAACCTAGGCACAGAACTTCCTGTCGATTACCTCCAACCAATTAACACATAGTGGAAGTGTTAAACAAGTAAATTCCCTTGGGTGTCCTTTTTACTAGCCGTCATAATAACAAGTTTCTGAAAACTCAGATTCCCTCGAATATACAGCCACCCAACGACAATATTTATAAACGGATAAAAAAATATGGGATATAGAGAGACTGACAGATAAATTATGATAAAAATACGTACATTTGAGGTGAACAGTTCATGCAGTATTCCTGTTTTTAAAATGCTCCATCAGGTTAGTGACTCATAATAGTCACTCTTTCTGTGACAGGTATTACTTACTGTCATGACTTATGGTTCTTCGTCGTTCGGTGATCGGAATCGGTCAGCTACAATTGTCATGTAGACACTTGTTTAGATCCCGCACTATTTCCAGTGATTCCAATTTGGCACTAGTGATGTGTATTAGCTGTCAGTGGAATCCAAGAGACACGTTTCCACGTATTTGAAACTCATCAGTTGGATGTGCCTGTCTCTCAGTAAGCGATGTTTTTCCCAGTGAGAATTCAACACAAAACTCAATGCAGCAAAAGTTGTGGGACTACAAGCTGCAACATTAAATTATACTTACCGGGTAAAGAGTGGCCATTGTGGCTCAGTAACCTATGAATAACGCTTCGCCGTCTGAGGTGAAGTTGATTCTCAGTGGAGACAGAATCATTCACTGGAAGATGGGTATAGACAACTGATTAGACCAAAATATGTGGAGACGCTTGTCTTGTATTCTACTGATAGTTGTTATACACCATTTGTACCACATTAAAACTACTGGCAATATCGAAGGATTTATGCGAAAGTTCATGCGATAACAGTGGCTGGTTAATTCAGTTTAACCAACGATGATGTAGTTCAAAATATGAACGTAGAGGATATTGCTAAAACAATTATATGCATCAGTCCCACGTTAAACTAGTTGCTGATCTTAAAGGTTGGTATGCAGAAAAATAAATTCATGAGACAATTGTGAACGTCTATATGTCTTTTCACATAGATGTTGTGTCGCTATTTGTTGGTTAGTTCCACTTACATTCTGCATGATGAAATATTTTCGAAAGTAAGACATTTTTAATCGTCGATTTATCTTGAGATAAAAAAATTTAAGTATCTTTTCTCGTTTTGTGTTCAATGATAGTTTTCTTTTTTTGTATATTCAGATAATCTTACACTTAATTCATCCTCAGTCATTATTTCTTTGCACTACTTATGAGGAATCATCCATATACTGTATCACTAAAAGTTTTTTATACGGAAATTATTGAATAAAATGTACTCAGTGACTTTGTGCACATTCGTACAGTAGGCAGTGAGCCACACCTAAATTACGTGGGCTAATGACACTACTACCTGGCTGCCCAAACCTTGGTAGGTAGAGTGGGACTCCAACCCGTAACCTACTAATTGAAAGTCATCTCCCTAAAATTGAATATTTATCATAGTAAAAATCGTGACGAAGACTTCCTCAAATGCTTATGAAAGATGAAGCACTTTTAGTAATGTGCAGGAAACTGTTTGTTTCCACCAGCAGATGATATAAGATCATTTGCAGATTCATAAAGTGAAAAAGCAATAATTATTGAAGCTAAACCAGTGAGTAAATGGTTAAATAGTCTACTCAAAAGCCGACCTTTTTAAATTTTAGTTCACAAGTCCATGTGAATATGCATAGTTGAGAAGTCTTTAACTAGAATGAAGTGGTCATTTTATAAGTTTTATATTTCAGTGACCCAAAAGTGGCATCGATTTGTGCAGAAAACGTCTTTCATATCCTGTATAAAGTATATTAGCCTTTAAATTACGGACTCGATAAAGAAAGTTTTTTCTGTTATTGAACAATTTAGAAATATACATTTTACTCCAAATACTGCTCCTGTACAATTGGAAAACAAGAAATTCCAAGTTGGTATTCATCATTGGCTGAGACTAGTCAAAGAACCACTGAAAATTTGTGAGCACCGACCAGCTATTCCACCCTGATATGGGACTCCTCAGCAGTGTACACTAGTGGTTCCACCAGGAATCGAATCCAGGATCTTCAGGTTGCACAGCCAGGATGTAACCAATGAGCCATTGGGTGGAAATTCAATGGCTCAGTGGTAACGCGGGGGCTACGGAGTCTGAAGGTTTTGGGTTTGGTCTCTGCTAGAATCTGGAATGCGCACTAATGAAGAATTCAATATTAGGATGAAGCAGCTGACCAGCGCTCCCATATTTTCAATGATTCTCCAACTTACTTCAGTCCGTGATGAATACCAACATGAAATTAATAAATAAATCTCACAAACCTCTAAAGTGAAGTCAGAGAATGGTTCTAATATGCGTTAATTTATGAACGGGATAAATATATGATTTTCTATGCATGTGAAGGACATCTACAGAAAGAAAAACGGTCTCAAAGTTTTTATTTTAAAGGTCTGGCAGTAAAACAAAGGGGTATAAATTAGAGATATTGCAAATCACAACAGAAACTATGGCAACTATGTCTGTCACTTAAAGTAGAAAAAAGTCAACACATAATATTAAACTGAGAAAGTAATTACTCTGAAGAAATAAGATAGCAGACTTGATTTTGGCAGGTAATATCATCAATAGTAGGCAGGAAAAATTGAAACTGTTACACACATACATGTTAACAAAATATTGCTGTCTAATTATTTCTATGCCTTTTGCTGCTAATCACTCAAGAATAATGTCATGATGAAGAAGCAAGAGGTCCAGTGGAAGCCTCATTCTAAAACCTTGTCATGATCTGAAAATACCACATCAGTATCTCAACTTTAACTACACAAACCATTAGAGCAGTAAACGTTTTTTTCATCTAAACTTATTTATAGAACCAAATAAACTCATTGAAAATGTAGACGAAACACACAAGAAAGTATATTGTTTAGTCATCTGCTGAGGATCATTTGAAAATAATTGGGTAACAAGAACTTGAATCAGAGGATAAAGGAGGTTTGGCATCACGAACTAGTAATGGAGGTCCAGCTTTCCACCAACAAACGTCTACACAGTAACTAAAAGATCAAGAAAATGCAGAACTACGAAATCTGACCACAAACTAAGTCCTTGAAATAGATTTATTTACGTAGAAAACAGCTTCGATAAAAACACAACCTATAAACTTGTATATTAGCCTCTTAATATGGATTACACCAGGAATCCTGATCTCAAAGTTGGTATTCATGCCGGAGACTTTGGGAAGTGAAAAAAATGACCTTGACATGGGCCTGTAGAATCAGAGATACCTAACTGTTCGTAAGATTACTGCCTTACTTTAAATCCTTTCCCGAAGGACCATCCAAAAACAACGAAAACTAGCTGATGGAAGACAGTCAGCATTATTTTAAATCGAAGTTGTAACTAGCATAAAAGAAGGCCTAGTTATGTAGCCTTATTATAAATCTTTTCAATTTTTTGTAAACTAGTTGTTCTAGATTGAAAAATGTTGTACTTACCTCTGTTATCTTGACTAATCACATTCAAAATGTGTCTAACTAGTTCGACTAATTCTTCCCAACGTGTGTGTAAGCGCTCTAGATGACTTTTCACATCGTTTTCTAGGTGTGGATAGACTTCAATGAGTTTCTGACCAACCTAAAATTGACAAAATTACAATAATGACAAAGAGATAGTAGAAGTAACTATAAACGAGATATTTGTGACAAGTAATGCGGTAAACGTGAAAAACCAAGCTAGAAGAAAATCTAAAAAGAATAAACTGCTTGATATAACCATAAGGATGCCTTTTAGTGTCAAGGACCAAACAAAGTATATAAACTGAAAAAACTTGATGAGTAAAAAAGATTTTAAAATGTCATGAAAACCATCAGAAATTATATATCCAAATATGCCGAATATGAACAATAAACAATCATCATTGCGAGATAAAATTGTCGCGTTTAATAAAAGATTTATCGGAGATAAGTATAGTATAACACAGTATTTAATCGGTTTTGCTAGTGTTACTTGTGCTAGACAGATGCTGACGAAATCCCATTTACAATACTTATGAAAAATCACGATTTCAAATGTTCTTACAACATAAGAGGATATTACTGGTCAAACCTTAGAACGTCAGAAATAGCGCGCCAAATAAAGCAACATGTATGAAATGGATTATCTGTTTGTTAACAGTCAAAAACAAGATTTTTTAAAAACAATTATCGGTTTATAAAAATTTCATCAAAATGCTGTAAATATTTCTTCACATAAAATATCAGTTATATCTTCCGTGAATTTAGAAGTCGATAATAGCGACTCATTAAGAACTTATAGCTAAAATACTGAAGTTGGACAGTTAGAATTCACGATTTTAATGTTAGAAAGTATTGAAAATCCATTAATCGGTTGTTATTTCTCTTGGAATCGAAATGCTCAGCAGATGAAAATGATATGAGTTTGAAGAACGGTTCATTTTTGCGTAAGATAAAGGAGAGGATTATAAGGGAAAACCAAGTTAGTTTATACAAAATCTATGGAAACTTCAGTTTACTGAAGAGTCACGTCTTTCCTTGTTTTGTAAATATTTTGATAGAATTACAGGATTCGAGATGCAAAAGACCATAGAATAGTGTTGTTATAAATCTTTAAAAAATTTACTATTAGTTGAGCCCACTTTGAAAGCTAACAAGCTAGAGAATTCACTTATTAACGATAACCCGAAAATTCTGAAATACATGGTTAATCTCTTCAGAGTATTTCTCAGATAAAACCAAAAAGAAGACACTGAGAAGCTGAAAGAAACTTACAAAAGCCCATCGTTTATAGCTCGATAGCTAACTTTAGGTGAATCAATAGGCAACTTTATATCTGGGCTGATTTAATGTTAAATTAGATATTAAAAATAATCATTAACTAAGACTGATACGCTTGGAATCAATATAAGTGGATATTATCATACCCCAATCAAGTAATATGGAGTGAACTACAATTCCGTTTTGCTAAGGTAACGTCATGTAATATATGCACATATATACATACAAAGCTATTTGTAAAAAGTAGTGATCTGCTCAAGGCTGTAAAAGGTTATAAAAATTGTCAGTTCTCAAATCATTTAGCCTTTGTTAGTCACAGGAACAGTTTTTTTATTTACTCATATCTGTGCACTGAAACCCATATTTCATGATACAATGTTTTCTGAAGAATCTTATTCGGGGAAATTAATTGAAGTAATATAGCTCACAAGTTGTGGCACTTAATCAAAAGCAACCATAGCAATAGAAGGTGAACATAATTTCCCTTAATATATGTTTGTTAATTGTGTTTAACAACCAAGCAGAATATAAAAGGTGAGTCTGTTCAAATGGCTCATTTTTAGTTTCGTAACGTGAAATAGTAGCTGTATAAGACTTCATGATGTGTTTGTTACACTAACTGTTAGAAACAGGAGGTGCTGACTTCTTTTGCTGCGAGTAACTTCGATTATAAGTTCTAATTTTTAAATATCACATCAAAAATAAAACTTTTCACCAATCTTGGCAAAAATGTGCTATTTTCTGATCATAGTCTTTTTGACTTAGAATAGTGAAGTGAAACTCAAATTCTATATGGCAACGAGCACTTGAGTAGAATAAGAAACAATGAATCAAGTAAGTCAGAAAGATGTTTACAGAAATTCGATACTTCTCTGTAGTTATTGGATAGCCAGCTGAGCATAGCTATCATCGAATTTTTTTCTAGATTTATGCATGCAATTTCACACAACTACACAATAGGATAGCACAGATTGACAATCCTTAAAACTAACTAGGGTGAAGCTTAAGTTTGAAAACCGAATCTTTGTTTTCAAATCAACACCAAACGCATGTAAAAACAATGACACACCTGTTATAGAAATATGGAAACTTCTACTCCCTATACCGCAAAGGACTTGAGAAAATTAGAACTAGATAAACCATGAATCAAAGTTGTGGAGTCATCTTGATACGACTAAGGAAAGTAAATTGTGTCCGAAACGCAACCCTGCAAATAATACTATTTCTCTGTGTGATACACCTAATAAATCAAATAAAATGGAATTGCTAATAACAACTCATAAATATTCGACTTCTAAAACTTGTCATTATGAAAATGCAGGGATACTAGTAGTTGTGTACTCACAATCCTTTGTACGCATAAACCAGACTAGATAAATTACAAAAAAATTTTGTGCAGGGAGCGGTGGAAACAGCTGGGTATCAATTCACTAACCATATTTACTCAGTTCACTATAATTCTGGTCACAAAACACTAGATAGTCTACTGAAATCCTGAATAAATCGACAAAAAATTATTATAATTCGTTCTGTCAGTCATACAAGAGAGATACTGACACTTTGCTATCATGTGTTACATGTCTTTTGAACCAAATAAAGCCATAAAATAAACAGAGTAATGATTATCCACCTGTCAATATGAATTTCCTGAGGAGGTACAGTCAATATACGTCCATTTATGATCGAAATATGAGTGACTGTTTTTGGCACAAACATTGAGAATATCTTTTATCAGGTAAGAGTGTTATGCAATAACAACACACTTAAAATGTGTGACAAAATCTGCTATAGTATTAAAAGACTTGTGAGTAATTAGTAATCAAGGCCTCTTTGAGTTAATGGAATGTAATATATAACGGCAAAAACAGCTTCAAAGAATTATTGAAAGATTTGTCTTCATTACTAATAAAGTCAGTTTGTTCAGTGTTCTAGTCAAAAATGACCTTCACAAAAAGCTTCACTGTTCTAAGTCAGGGTCATTTAACCTATAGAAGGACAACCGCTACAACGTAAAGTATGATTTGCAAACTGAACAAATACATAATTTAAAATGAAACTATAATAATCGTTGATATAAAGAACCTCATCTAAGTTGTACTTAGATATGAACAAGCATAGGTTAAACATATTTGAAACTAGACTGTAAAAATGAACTAAACTACCCTGTGCATGAATTCCTTATTTTGTGATATTCATAAGGTAAACCGTGATATTGGCTCCTTTGAATCAACTTGACACATCTTTATGTTCGAGTTAGTTAGCCAGTGACAAAAATGCTAACTTACTAAGTGACATCAGCTTCTTTAATCACTCGTATTTAATATTTTTACGATCCTCAGCAGCACTTCATAACTCTTAGCATCTATAGGTTCATTATTATTACTTACCGATTTTTATCCCCATTTTGTATAACTACCGCTGTAATTTTTTTTTATGATGAGCATTGATAAGTGATACTTACAGTTTTTTAACTGAAGAAGGAATCTTTGGTACTATTATTAGGTCGAAGTCATACGATAATCGTGCTTTCAATACAGAATCGCCTATACAAACTGACAAATTCGTAACGAGAAGGGTCAAAAAGGAGATTCACAATAAAACTTCATTATTTAGTTTGAAGGATAGGTAAAAAAGTAAACCGAAGGAATTTCCCACTTCTAACTGTAATCTATCGCCCATTCAGCCATTTTGTCGTGAATGGAGAATTTTCAGTATTATACAATCTGGATTTGTTCTGACCTGAAACTCATTTTCATGGGCGTTATTGAACACATTACTAGTGATTCATTCAATCTGATTATTTTATTTTATCCCTTCTTAATCCAACCATTAAGCAGCAAACTGGGGTTGTCATCCAGTAATTCTCGTATTGTATCTATCTTTATCGCTGGGTTTCATAACGACGAAATTTGCCTAAAAATATTTTATTAGTGTTTGATTATCCATAATTAGTTGGGACTTTCCGTTCACAGCCCTTCTTCGAATAATATTTGTAAGTGGTTAGCGAATACGGTTCACGATGAAGTAGGACAATGAAAGCAACTCTAACTCTGTGAGACTGTTAACAGATAGTTGTCACTACTTAACAGTGAATAGTTACAGACTAATAGTTTAAATCCTTCCCATGAGGAATAAATAGAAGCCATAGATGTTTTAATTGAGAAAATGATTAGTTTCGAAGGGTTCAGCTAGTATACTAAGTCCATACGCAGTAACGTTCTGTATCAGAAACGAAAACACAATTCATTCATTCATGTGTTGTAAATTAACATCAGAAAGGCTTCAGAGACATAACTCAATAAAACTGACTAACCTCAATAAAATGGTCTCCACGATTTCGATTTGCTTCTATTTCTTCTTCAAACGCCTGAATACGACTAAAGGATAAATGAGATCTTTGTTTGATTGCCAGCTGAATTTCAACTAGGCTATTAGTTTTGTCTAAAATCCAGTCTTCAAACTTGAAAAAATAAAACAAAAGATATACTGGATGAAAATACATGAAGAGTGAATGAATGAACAGAAAAATAGAGAAGAGATAATTCAGCGAAGAAAATTTTCTTTTTCGACGATATCATTTTCTAATACTGTACAATCGTATTTATATATATCATGAGCATATAACAGTCTATTATAAAATAATAGGGTATAATTACATCATTAACCTAGTGCTAAAAAACCCGAATCAAGAATGCAAAGTAGTTGCGTAATAAACTAAGACAGTAGAAATATCGAGGAAGTCAAGGAGTTTGACATCTATCTATCAAGTGGACACTAAATATTTGCCTTTCTTATCTATCAACAATTTTCACTCTGTCAAACTCCTTGCCTTCCTCGATATTTCTACTGTCTTAGTTTATTACGCAACTACTTTGCATTCTTGATTCGGGTTTTTTAGCACTAGGTTAATGATGTAATTATACCCTATTATTTTATAATAGACTGTTATATGCTCATGATATATATAAATACGATTGTACAGTATTAGAAAATGATATCGTCGAAAAAGAAAATTTTCTTCGCTGAATTATCTCTTCTCTATGACTCAGTGAACAGAAAAATAATTAAAAAAGTCAACAACTAAAAATCCTCAAAACTGTGCTTGCGATTAAGTACAAACGAAACTGGATGTTTCTATGGTAAGAATTTGTGTTCTGACTAGAGTATGTTTTACCACAGCTTGGATCAGTGTTTTAACTATAAGGATGGCTACATCTGGCTGATAAAACCACCGTAATATATATATATATATATATATATATATATATGTATATATATATATATATGAACATTTGCACTAATGAATCATTGCTCTTGTAGACGACTTTTGTCCTGTCACAGTCCTCGAAAATCGTCTGTCGAACAATGTGTCAAACCAATGGGGCCTGTGGTTTGTCATTAGGTACCCAGTAAAATAACAAAAACTGCATGCTCCCAGATGGGGTTAGTGAACAAAGCATACTTAAGCGGTGCAAAACATGATTTCAAGTGGCAACCAGAGAAGCATAATAGTTTCGTCTAGCGATTATAGTAGAAATAAAACCGTCTTACTAACTGAACTATTGGCTGTGTGTTTACATAGTGTACACAATTTAGGCAACTAGGTCTGATTCCAGTGACTGTGGTGCTCGACACAAATTATTCACAAAATTGAATGAAGAACTTGTTCATTTTTCATAAGAAGAATTACAACTTTTGATTCATAGTGGGTTTAGAATCAATAACAATCGGTTAGTTTGATTTGATTTTCAGCAGTTGTTCGACATAAGAAAAAATTCTGAAAGAATTATTATTATTCATTGCATCTTTTTCATAACATTTTTAAAATGAAAATATTTTTTTGACTCATTGGGAACAATATTTTAGAAGCGTGTAAAATTTATTGAATTCTATGATTTAAAGAACCCTATTGTATATTCAAAGTAAAATATATTCAAATGAACAGCCAATTTTAGTGAGTTACTCTTCACATTCTACACATTTACAAGTATGTGTATGCAGTCGTAAAATAGTTAATGTATGACATTATTAAAATATAGTTAGAACAGTTAGTATAATGAATAGGTGGAATCGAGTACAATCTCATTACAAATAGATAAATGGTCATCTAGGTGGTGACTTTGGTAATAATATATACACACAATGGAATAATAAGACAATGTAATTAAAAGATTATGTGCATTTGTATTTGTGAAGCATAACAATAAGAATGGAGTGCTAGTAGGAATCAGCGGGATAAACAGGGAATTAGAACAATACAAACCATTTCTCAAAGTTGTGTAGTTACTTGAATATGACTACAGATAACAAGTTGTATGCGAAATGCAATACAATAGATATTACTGTTTCCCTGTGCAGTGCATTTAATAAAGTAAACAAAATAGAATAGCATTATAACAAAGTACCCATATCTTACTCTTATAACAATGGAAATGTAAGGGTAAGAGGTAACTAACAGTTGAAGGTTAATGAAACATACATACACATCAAAAGATTGCGGGATTAAAAAAGTTTCAATGGAAGAATAAGGAGTGGAGAGTAATGAAAGCTATGAATCAGCTGTCACGTTTGTCTGGTAGGTCATAGTAAAAAGATATTTTGAATGTATCTCTTTCAAATACGTAAGTCTAACTTCAATCATTTGATTCTCAAGAATTCGGAGGTGTGACTATGAGCGACTCGGCAGATTATTCAGCAATCGATATATTACGGAAAAAGGTTTATCAGTTTAGCACATCATGTGTTACATAGCTTTTAAACTCTAGTTTCAGATATAAGGCCTTTTATTGACCGAAACCTTTTACCTTTCTACTCAATTCGTACACGTATTTCCATGCGGAATTCCTCAAATTCACAATACACTATGTATTTTTTTCAGTTTTTCCTTGTCCTAATCTACACAGTTTTCAAAGCACATACGTCTTTTTGAATAAACAAAAAAATGAAGTAGGTTTCCTTCGTGTTGCTTAAGAGTGAAGCTATCGCATAGAATGTATTGTTTTATGCATCATTTTGGCTAGCAGTGGAGTCCGGGAAACGCGTTTCGTCTATTTCAAAGTCGTCAACTGGATGTGTCTGCATTCCAGTGAGTGATGTTGTTCCCACTGAGACTTAAACCCAGTATCCAACCTTTCAAATATCACTGAGGCACCAGAGAAACGGGAAATTACAGATGTCAATGAATATTTACTGTCAATCGTTGCATGAGAGGTGTATCTGGTGCCTAAGTGGATCGGTGGAAAACACTTTGAATATGGAGGTCAAGCGTACTATATCGGAGTCTCATTGAGAACAACATCACTCACTGTTGTGCAGGTACATCCATCTGGTGAGTCCCAAACAGGACAATACGCGCGTTCTGGATTCCATTGCTGGTCACCAAAATTGATGTGACATGATGATTATCCGGCAGTATCAAGGTATCTAAATAGGAATCCATCTAGCAACAGAGTTCTAACGATTCGGTTCCATACAGCGACAGGAAATTAAAAGTCTCAAACAACGAATGTATTATGTAGGTGAGCTTTATTATAATCGCAGTGTGCCTAGAAGAACAAAAAAAGGTTCTTCTGAATGTTTCGCTGTGTATGCCACAGCATCTTCAGCAGAATATCCGGGTTTTTATTCAACATCAAAATATATACTGTCAAGTGGTACATGTAGGAATTTCTGTCTTTCATAAGCTCCCGATTTTCAGCTTTCGTATTAGTCAACTCTTAGTTATGAAATAAAAAGATAAGAACTGCAAGATAATATATATTTGGCTTATTATTAGTATACACATAAAAATGAGGAAAATACTATTTCACGACTGTAAAGGGAATTTATTACTTGTGTTACAATCAGTCACTCAAATAAATAAAAGTGAGATATAAGTCCATCATTAGGTTTAAATGTATAACTTGCTAGAAATTTAATTGCACATTAAAACAAGAATTTTAAGTCTCAGTTATTTTTAAACCTAAATACTTTCAGAGGTTTATAGAAAAGGTTAAAATGTGAACTGCAGTAAAAAAGAAACTTAATAATTCCATGGAAAAACCTGTATTCCTCCTTCTGTCTTTGAAGAGGAAGGAGTCAGTGAAAAGGGTTGATAGCAGAATAGGAACTGAAGTAAAAGTTGATTTTGCAACAGGTAATTTAGTCTAAATATGCAAACCAAACTGTTTACTACAACAATCGATCGTTGATAGCTTCCCGTCTTATATCACCCCAAATTGCAACTGGTAATTCAAGGTTACATGCCACAGGACGTACAGTGGAAAGACACAGATGACAGTTGAATAGCGATTTCATGAACATATTCCAAATATATTTAGAATAAACTGATTCTCTTTAGAATGTAAACGTTTTTCGTGAATATAAAAATTCCAGATAAGTCTAGCCCTAAGCAGCTAAAATGTCTTAAAAATTCAATTGCTAAGCATCTGATGGATACTAAACACAACGTTTAGATTTTGAACAACAAATGAAAAAGCACTAATTTACTAAGATTTAAAAAACCAATGGCTATCAGAAGAACTAAACTGAATTCGTATATCTAAAAAGGGGTGATTATCAGCCCTCAATGTTAGCCATTAATTTCTTTCGTTAATGAGCATAAGCCTTTCCAAATTTTTCTGTATTTTCATGCTCGTTTTACAACCCATTTCATAATCAATTTCAATTTTTTATCTACAATTAAAATGTCTAATTCAAACTGATTTGACCTTAACAACTGTTCAACTTTCAATTCTATATTTAAAATATTATCATTTGTACTGACGTAATCTTTCTGTTTTCGCTTTTGATTTGTCACACGTAACGAAACGACAATTTGACTATGTAAACACTAGATAACCTTGATTTTATTCTCAATAATCTGATTCTTTCAGCTTTCCATAATGTTTTTTATTTCCTTAAAATGAAGTCAGTCTGTTTCTGAATACTTTTAATCATAACCTTTAGGACAAATTAGAAACTCAAGAAAGTTTTAAAAACTATTTACCAATGCTCAGTAGACTCTGAAACTTGTTGGGCAACAAATTATATCTAAAACACAATTCAGAGTGATATTGTATTTCTGTGTGTTGTATGAAATACATCAGACAAAACTCAGCATCCATTGAACTGGTTCAAGTTCTTAGATTTAAATCAGAACTATCAGCTACTCTCCATACTAAGTATAATAATGCTTAGGTCTCTAATATGCGCCATAACATTGCTTTACTGAAGTATATTTAATAGTTTTATCGACTACTAATACAGTAATAAGTAATTTGCAAACTAATATCTGAGCTGACCAACTTAACACCGACTGTACCATTTGTATTCCCACCAAATGTACTAACAGAATATTCCGAACTATAAGAAATGTATTGTACCCCATCAAAAGAGTTAAATTGTAAGTATTTAAAAGACGCTACTACTGAACAACTGCAGTAGTTAGAAACAACTCTGGATGACCTGTAGATTTAACCA